GAAGAGTGCTTTAATATGTTCGAAATACATGTTTAATTACAACTAAAGCACTACGTAATCTTTATAATGATGATTTTTAGCTAATAATCGGTCGAGACAATTATTTATAAGAAATAAGTCATGACTGTTCTCAATATAGGTTTCGTTTCGAAGAAATTTTGTAATTTCCTTACTAGTTAGTGTTTTTTATGTTTATAATTACTTTATAATTTACGTACATATGTGGGTACTCCTCCATTTACCTCGTTAATTTGCCAAATTTACATTTCCAAAAAGTACCTTGAATTACCTTTTTTAGAAATTACTCAACATTACTCTACTTGTACATATATAGGTATTTCACAACCGCGAAAACTTTTTCTTACTAAAAATATGTATTATTATTTGAACTTTGTTTGCTAAACCTAACAAGTTCGTCTTAAATACCCCAAAATTGTAATTAGCGTCTCAAATGTGCGTGACTTCTACTCTTATCTGTAGATAGCAATGCTTATGAGTATAAATAAGTATTCGTACCATAATTTCATAAATATATTTATTTACATAAATACTTATGCACAAAAATATTATTTGAGTTCGACAATGACACATATTCATTAGCTAAATGCCAGACGGCAGATTTAATAGATTCTTATTAGAGGTTTACGCAGATGATCGATTGTGCTGCGATTGCTAGAGGTGATACTTATTACTGATAACTCTGATTACTCATTACTGATAATATCATTACTAAATATTATTAATATATGAAATAAAAAATTTAATAAAATTAATGTAGACGGATAAATGCATAATCAATGTTCCATTTAAATTTAACTAATTTCCTGTATAGCTCAAGGTTCGATGGTTTTTCGTGCCAATTACTGTGAAGTAAATTGAGTCAAACGAAGTAATTAATTATATTTTCAAGCACTGTATGATAAGTTAGGGTATTTTGTAAATATTAAAGTACTTATACTAACTCAGACGTAGATTATCAGATATTTCACAACCCAAAAATTCACAAAGTCACAAAAATTTAAAATATTTTATGAAACTATATTTTTAATCCAAAAGGAATGATTAGTAAAACAAGAAAAAACATGAATTGCATCGAAGCTATGTTACCTTTCACAAATAAAAAAGACTCCTTACAAGAACTTCATTTGATACTATACTAAATGCTACAGTGATCCAATCCAAACAATATCTTCAGCGATTGCACTATATACCGAATTTCTTTCGAATTTCTTGAAGATATCTCGTCAAATGAAAAAGTTTTCCATGAAAGCACTTGACTCCGATCGTTCAGTTTGTACGGTTGTATAAAACTAATAAAGTAGATAGTAGTAGACAAAAACGCACTATCGATGGGTAGCAACAATCGATTCCGATATGAGCTAAAATAGAGCTTGGGGATAAGGTACTAAAAAGCAACTGGTAAGATATTGTCAGTCCATTCGGGACTTCAAGGGTTATATACATTTGTAAATATCAAAAAATCGATTATACTTCGGATAAAGAATTTTTTAACTTAGTGTAATCGGCTCCCAAAACTTTAAAGGCGTTTTTCTCGAAAGGCTGTTTTTAGAGTCGGTGAAGAAAATTTCTACTGGACCCGTCGTTTTTTAACATTTTATATGACCTTTTTAGATGTATTTGTTAGTTAGTGATCGAAGAAATAGTTATTTGAAATAATTTCGATTTTTTAAGTCAATCTGAAGTGCAAATTTTTTTCACAAAAAACTGCTTTATTTGGAAAGCATAATTTTATTAAAAAAAAAACACAACATTTTGATTAGCCCTTCGATTATTACCTGTATTTATCTATTGTTGTAATAAATTGTTTTGGTATGCGATTGAGATAATTTTAAGCAGAAAAATCTTTCTCACCACCAGGCACCGTTTTTCGAAGGTCCTCCTAGAGATCGGCTAGATGATCAAGGACCGCAAAATGAATCGCTTCTTATTTAAGTGCAATAAATTATGTTAATGTAGATTATTTTTATTTATTTATTTACTTATTATATCTTATTAGTATTTCTCTTCAACAAAAAAAAATTACCAAAATTTTTTTTTTGTGAGTTGCATATGGAGGTACTGTAATTGTAAAAACTAATGACAAAATAAAATTAGTCTTCTTTTAAATAGAAAATTTTACTAATATTACAACTAAGGAACAGGTTACATAAATATCAACGAATGCTGAATATGGACAAAAACTTGGAAATTGCAATTTGGGTATGAAGAAATACTTAAAAAGTTCGAAATTTCAATAAAAAATAACTAAATGATTTCCTGCTGGAATATTGCTACATTTCGCTAGAAAATTTCCAACATTTACTCTACCAATACCTTACTGCTAGAAAATTTCGAATCAATTCAGCAATTTCATCATTAAAAGCTACATTCCATGATAAGTAGCAAGACACTAGAAATTTTAGCACTCATTGTTTTTGCCTTTAAAACGTAGTATTTGTCGCCAAAATCAGAATTTATCGCAGAACTGGACATTTGACATATCAGCACAAACAAATAACTCTATATAAATATTAAGTACTCAAGTGAGTGTAAATTTGTCGCTATACGTCACACAAGCAGCTTGGGTAATTCTGGTATTAGTTGCGCCTCCCAAAATTCGTATTCACTTATCACCCACAACTGATTGGCTATGTGTGTTGACGCCGATTTCTTGTCTAAAACCGTGGTGTTGTCTCACCTATTTACCATTTAAGTTCGCCTGTTACTTTAGTGTCGCACAGTGATGTGCATGTGTCTGCGGGATCGTCGGGATCAGTATCGTATTTCAGTATTAATTGTGTAGTTTATTTCATTTTGCACTGTTTTCTAGTTGTTTGTTATGATCAAGCATAAAAGCCTTGCACAGCTGATGTCGCCAAATCAGCTGATACAAATTACAGAAATTCAACTTGATCAACTGATCAAAAACTGATGCATATTTAGTTCGCACATGAACGTTATGCAGATTTTTTACATCACTCATCCATGTTACTGACCTATGCTTTGTCGTCGACAACATTATTTATGATAAGTGCGAGTCCACACTGGTGCTCGTATGTAGATTTAAGAGTACACACACACCCGGTCGCTATACACACGTACAAATATTTGCTGTGACAGTTTGTAAGATATTCTTGTTGATTACTTAAATTAACAAAAACAACAAGAAATATTATTTAAAAAATACTTTGGAAGTAGGAGGAGCTGCTGCATTGATTTTTTGTGTTCCGCCAATATGTGACTCTAGCTGGACAGCTTTAAAAGGCCACGTTTACAAGCTATAAAACGCAGTTCGCCAAAACGTAAGCTTCTGTGAACATGCGTACATTTGTAACTGTGCTGTCGGTGTATTAATAATTGGTAAAAAGAAATTAAATATTAAATGCTAATTGGATAATTTTCGGATTGTGAATAAAATCCTTTTCAAAATTTATTTATAAAATTCTTAATAAAAATGCAAATATTTCTTGAAATTGAAGGTAGTCAGTCGAAAGAAAAAAGTCAAGATTTACTGTTCCTACTACTAAAGTGTAAGGGTTTTGTCAATTGGGAATGGTATTGAAAAAAGTTAGCAAAAAGGCACTATGTGATCACGTAGAAAAGTAGAATTGCTGCAGTTAGAAATTTCTGTTAAACATATTTTCATAATAAAAAATGTGGAACGTATGTGGATTGTATTTAAAATTGATTTGTATTTGTTATGTGTTACTCAAAAAATGGAGTTTTGCTTATAAACGCTTGAGAGAATTAAATTGACGCTTGCTATATGAAATAAATGAAGTGGAATCAAAGTGCTAAAATGTCGTTAACTGTTAAAAAGCAAATTTAAAAAAAATTTGAACTATTGCACGAAAAAGTAGAGCGTGTGTGACAAAAGTGTATAGAAAATTTTTTTTTTATTTCTGCTTAAAGAAACCTTGCTTTTAGAAATTTTAAGAATAAAAATTAATTATAATCTTGCTTGTTTAAATATTGCTACATTGGTTGTGGAACTTATAAGCCAAGTTTCCCACAAGCTATATATAAAATATTGATTAGATGTGATAAAAATGTCAATGTTATATGTTACAGCAAGTTATTGGTGTTCAAACGGCTAAATTGTTATTGAAAAATAGCACTTTTTATAGAATAAATTTTAGATTGTGCTATAAGCGTTAAAAATACTAACAATTTTTATTTTTACCGATATATAAAATAAAATTGTTGTGGTACCTATGTGGAACATATTTAAAATACGCCATTTGGGAAATACGAGCTTTTAGCAGTTGCATTTTAATTAACTATGTTTCACTATGTGGAACGTATGTATGTGGAACATATTTGCAACTTTATTTTACTCGTGTCACAGAGTGTTGTTATGTAATTGTAGTAATTTTATTTGTCTTTAGTATTAATTTTTCACGTTTTTGACAGCAGTGTTATGTAAAGGGCTTTATAAATATCTATGTAGTTGCTAAATTAATATTTTTTTGAAGACGTAACTTATATTAATTTACAATCAGTTTTTATCTATGTCAACAAATAATTTTTACTACCGCTTTACATATGTATGTAGCTATCACGGTATCTTAACTTGGCGGAGTAAGAATTTCATGACAAGACTTCAATGCAACACATTTTATAGCATAGTACTGCTACAACAATTACGCTTGTACATAAATAAAGTCACTTGTATCTAGTGTTATATATTTTATCAGTACTCTGTCACACTGATCCAATGTCGAACTGCAAATAAAGATAACAAGGGCCATATATTTTATGATCCTGTCAACTGCCAATTAATCAGAATGTTTATATTCACGTCTTCTAACCAGCAATTAATTGTAGATATTTATGTGTACACCACTACAAATATTCATGTAACTGTAAACACATACGCGTAGAACAAACCATCGGATTAGTTTGCTATCTGCAGATATTTTTTTTTTATATTTGTGTATAACACAACAAAATTCTAATCTGAATATTTTTTTCTTTCTTTTCTTCTTATCAAACACCAGAAACCAATCAATTTGAAAAGCGTTCGTAAATTTGCACTCGAACATTTCAAACGCAGACGCGCACCACACGGCAACGCAACAAGACAACCTACTCCATTGGCAGCTGGCAGCGTAGGGGTAGCGAATCGAGTTTATGTTGGCAACGGCAACGAAGCAGGCACTTCGTCTTCACTATCATTGAGCGCTGGTAGCATCAAGTTTACACGATTGTCATCAGTGGACGCACTCGAATTAGCGAGTGTAGTAAAAGTTTCAAAGCCGACCGGAACTAAGCCGAAACTTCCGAAACGTTTACGAGCGACACCAACAACAATATCCACATCGATCACACCACGCACAAGCTTACGTCACAAGCAATATAAACAACGGTTACAAAATCATCCGTATACTGATGTGGATGTGGCTGCAAGCGAATTGAGAAAGATGGCACAACAGAATGGTGATAATGAGTGAGTAAAACTAACTAAAGAAAATATATTTATTAAAAATCAAATAATAGTTCTTTAAAAACAATTACTCAATTTCCCTAATGCTCAAATTCATTCTTTTACTCTCTCCTACCTTTCTCTCAATCACCACAGAACTAAACCTCTCACACAGGCGTACCTAACGGAGAAGCCAAAAATACAACCGAAATATGACGTGCATCGCGATGTCTTATCCCACGAGGTGGTTATCAAACAGACTGGCTATGGTGCGCGCGACAAAAGTATACCATCGGGTGTACGTCGCTCTTGGGCGCATTGGTCCTTTCTGTCGCTATTTGTCGGCATAATACCGATTGTACAATGGTTGCCACGCTATTCGCTGCGCCGTGATGCTATGGGTGATATTGTAGCTGGTATAACGGTGGCGATTATGAATATACCCCATGGTATGGCGTACGGCATATTGGCGGGTGTGACACCGGGTTGTGGGCTCTCGCTCGCTATTTTCCCCGTGATAGTCTACATGATATTGGGTACATCGAAGCATATATCGATTGGAACTTTTGCTGTGATATCTATGATGACATTGAAGGTGGTACAAACGTATGCGACTGAAGACCATGTGCTCTTAGTACCGACGGTAGCGATAAATAGCACGTTGGGTGATGCAGCGGAAGCTGTAAAGATGGCTGAGATAATAACGCCCGTCGAAGTGGTAACAGCGTTGGCGTTTTGCACGGGATTGCTACATGTAAGTAAGGATTGCAGTGAACAGAACTTGAGTGGAACGTTGAAAGTTGTAGTTTTTTGAAAAGCAGTGGCCGTTAGATTTGGTTAAATTAATTTAAAAAAGTAATATTTGGGTCATTATACGACTAATTAACTTACGTTCCACATGAAAATTTGTAGTGCGCGCTTAATAAGCATGCGAAAATATTACAGTACAATGAAAGTAAACGTAAAAATGCGTGAAATATATGTGGGCCGGATGTGGAACATATGCGGATCGCATATCATATGATGAAATTGATGCAAAATAACTTTTGAACCGATTTTAACATTAATATAAGAATAATTTACGTAGTGTTAGGGAATCAGATGCTGATGTGGCAGCAAAAAGTACATAACAAATTAATATGTTTTTAAAAGTCAAAACTATGCTAAAAATCCAAAATTTTATAAAAAAAAGTTCATAAAGGAAATAATAATGTGGAACATATTGCGAAAATTATTATAATTTTATTTTAAATTTTTTTATATTTTTTTTTAACAAAATTGAATACTGTATTTTTGTTATAGCTATATGCTCATATTACTTCTGTTTCTCTATCTTACAGCTCGCGATGGGTTTCTTTCGGCTGGGCACATTATCAGCACTACTTAGCGAACCGCTGGTTAATGGCTTTACTACTGGCGCCGCCGTACATGTCACCGTTAGCCAGTTGAAGGATGTGCTCGGCGTGCAAGTGCCACGTTATAAGGGGGCCTTTAAAATCGTCTTCACCGTCATTGATCTCTTTAAGTCTATACCAAAAACGAATATCATTGCGCTTACCATTTGCCTTTGCATTATGGTCTTCATGACGATCTGTAATGAATGGATTAAGCCTTGCCTTAAGAAACGTTGTCGCTTGCCTTTCCCCGGCGAGTTGATATCCGTTATAGGCGGTACCCTGATCTCACGTCTACTCGATCTGCATGGCAACTATGCTGTGACATTGGTAGGTGATATTCCAAAGGGTTTACCAATGCCTGAACTGCCGCGAATGGATTTAGTTCCAGTGGTGGCGGTGGATTCCATTGCTATAGCGATTGTCAGCTTTTCAATTGTCATGTCTATGGGTCTGACATTTGCACGAAAGCATTCATACGAGGTGCGTGCTAATCAGGAGCTCTTCGCGTTGGGCATGGCCAATTGTATATCCAGTTGTTTCTCTTGCTATCCACTGGCATGTTCGCTGTCGCGTTCCGTTATACAAGAGCAAACCGGCGGTGTGACACAGTTAGCATCACTCGTATCGGCCACATTGATTATAATGACATTGCTGTGGATGGGTCCGTTTTTCAGCACACTGCCACGGGTAAGACTTGGCTGGTTTCCGCATCTGATGTGTACATTGTATTAACAGAATTCTTCCTTGTGTTGTAGTGCGTGCTGGCGGGCGTTATTATTGTCGCCTTGAAGCCAATGTTCTTGCAGGCCAAAGAGCTTAAGAAATATTCGAAACAAGGCAAGTTGGAGCTGCTCACATGGCTTGCGACCTTTATACTGGTGGTATTGATTGATATTGATTATGGGTGAGTTTTCTACACATTTCTATTGTATATAAAGTCCAGCTCAGGAGACAGTCCCAGACCTAATTCGGATGAGTCAAAAGACAAATATATAACCTGATATCGATCCATATAGAAAGTGGTATGTCGTTCTAGTATATAGAAGGCTCTATTTCTTAAAAAATTTACTTCCTTCCTTTTAATGGCACGGATCCCATGTAGAAGAATAGGTCTTTCTATTACTTACTTTATTTCTCAGAGGTCTAGTGTTTTCTATTTTGAGCTTTGTATAATATAAGAGAGTAAAAAACTATTGACTCTCTGGAGCTTTCTTAGCACACCGACTGAAGATACGTGCACCTAGAATACTGTTTTCACGTCTGTTGCCTTTATATGTAGCTCTTGCAATAGTTGCCTGAGGTAACGTCTTTAGTAGAGCTAAACAGTCCAACGTTTAGTAATGAATCTGTCAACGATTTAAGTTTGTAACACCTTGAAGGAAACATCAGAGACCCTATAAAAAATATATATAAATGATCAGCATGACGAGCTTAGTTGATTTAGCCATGTCCGACTATATAATAAGCGTCATATATAAGCGAAATAGTCCCGCGGTTTATGAGATATCGATCTGAAATTTTGCACACGTTTTTTTCGCTACAAAAAGCTGCGCATTTGTCGGCATCTTCAATATCGGATTACTATAGCTTATAGCTGTTATACAAACAGAGAGATCAAAAACAAGGTTTTGTACGGAAACATTTTTAATTGGGCAAAATGCAAAAGGCAACGGGAGTCTGCAAAGAAATTTTACAGATCTGTTAACTATAGCATATAGCTGCCATACAAACTGACCAATCAAATCAAGTACTGACAACTTTTTTATTTCTGTAGAGTATTATACTTGTAGTTGCGGTGCAACCCAAGGTAACGTTTTTTTTTGTTTTTAATATATATATATATTTCCAGCTTTAACGACGCTCAAGCAAATTAATTGTTCATACTAATTCTCGTTCTCTTCTCAATTTACAGCCTCCTTATCGGAATTTTAATTTCATTATTGGCGCTCTACATAAAGGGTCTGAAACCATATTCCTGTCTACTGGGCACCGTACCCGAAGCTTCCGCCGTCTATGTGGATCTCAATCACCATCGCAACGCAGTTGAAGTGCCCGAAATGAAAATATTCCGTTACGTGGGCTCACTAAATTTTGCAACGAACATGTATTTCCGACGTTCACTCTACGACATTATCGGTTTGGATATGAAGAAGTTGCAACGCAATAAGACAGCCATACAACAGAACGGCAAAAACATCGAAAATGGTGAAGTGTCGCAATTGAATACATTCAATTTTCTAATATTGGATTTCTCAATGTTGGGTCACGTTGATGTTGCGGGTTGCAAAGCTATAACCGATATAATGAAGGAACTTCAATCGCTGGGTGTGCGTCTGTTCATTGCAAGTCCATCGGATCGTGTTTACGATACATTAGTGCATAGCATGGCGTTGGGCGAGGGACCGTTTGAAACTTTCCCCACACTGCATGATGCTGTGGAATATGCCAAAGCTTGCCGTCTGGCATGAGACTTAATGTACAGACTTGCAAATGGGCGTGTAAGATATATAAATTATAATGCCTAAAGCATTATGTACACTGTAAATAAAAATAGCTGTGAAGGAAACTTGGGGATGCTATCTTCGCTAATAACTAATAAATACAGTTGCGTAGGGCAATCTAGGAATTTTATATATATTTTAGAGAGCTTGTACCTTAAGTGAGTGTTGACAAACATAAAAACCATAAAGAAATAATAATAAAATTTAGACAAATAAAACTTAACAAGCGTGCTTATAGCATATTGTTAAACAAATTTGTTAGTAATAGGTAAAATTTATTTGATTTGAAATGTTGAATATTTTTCTTTTGAGTTGAAATTGAAATTGCAACCACCTAATATAAAATATGTAAAAGAAGTTACAACGACGTTAACTACAAAAAAAAAAATATTTTTGTATGTATAAATACAAAATATCTACAGAATTAAAAAAAATATATATTGTAATAATATAAGTTAAAAACAAGTTAGAAATTATAAATAAATAATGTTACTTTTTACATACATATGTATGTATATAAAAACATATACAATTTTATTTATTAACAGCATCTATCTGTGTCCACAAAGTTTAAACGAAACATACAATATGAAAATCAAACGGCGACCCCAACGAATTATTACAAATTTTTTATTTAATAATTAAATATTAATTTATATTAAAATATAATTTTAACACACAAACTTTTCTAGAAGTGCTTTAGTTTTAAAATTTATGAAAACCGACTTCTTCTGTTTTACCTTGTTGACACAGATATGTGTTATGTAAATTATAAATAAATACATGCAATTATTGTAAAATATGTACTTAGCAACACATACAATAAGTATGTACATATGTAAATTTATAAAAAAAAAAAATAATACAGAAAATTTAACTGTTGAACAAAAAAAGTCATAACTTAATTTTAAATAGTAATTAAGAAAGATTGGGCTTATATAAAAATATATATATACATACTATATATTTGCTTTTTTTAAAGATGTGAATCAATAAAACTGTACTACCGTGTATAACAAAAAAAATATTTTACGAAATTTCGAAATATATTTTTTTTTCGTGGAACATTTGTGGAACGTAGGCTTGTGTATTAGTTGACAACTTTCTTTGAAAGCTATACAATTACATAAAACAAATAAAAAATAATACGAAATTGTAATATGAAATATAAAAAAAAATTGTGGAATGTAAGGTTATGACCAAAAAATATATATATGATACATAAAATCCAAAATTTATATATTTTTCTTAATTTAACCTAATTTTTGTTTTCGCATATTTTCCCATTATAAAGATAAAATTCAATTTGTGATACAGCTCTGTTATTAGGATGAATTTTTGTAAGTCAATATGTAATTATCAATGAAATTTTTTATTATATTGAATATCAAAAATCTTACAAATTTTTAAATATTTAAAAAATCTGGGTTCATCCAAAAAAATATTTATATTAATTGTCATTAAAAAGGTTGGGTACCAATTAATTACTACTGCATATGAACAACATAAAAAATTATACGAAATTTTGATATAAAATATAAAAAAAATTGTGGAACGTAAGCCTATGCGCGAGTTGAAGACTTTACTTTAAAGCGATAACTATAAAAAAATGGAAATGAAATTTGAAAGAAAAAAGTTTAAAACATACAAAATATTTTCTATTAAAATTTAAAAATCTTCATTGTTGTTTTTTTAATCTAAAAGCTTGTGAAAAATCATAATAATTAAACCTATAAGTTCTCAATAATATTGCGTACAAACTTTCTACAAATATGTGATGTAATTTGTGCATGAGTAAACGCGTTGTGCAATAGTATTTGAAGTAAAATATTATATAAGCATATATTTATATAAGTAACCTAGTTAAATGAGACTATACGATTAACAAGTGCCTCCATAAAAGCCAGCCATATGAGGTGTCTAAATACTACAGGTGTACATACATACTTGTATATAGAAATGTGTATTTATATAGAAAATGGTGCTTTGAACTTAATTAATTACAAAAAAAAATTTAATAAAAAATACATACCTGGATTTGACAGTCAAAGCAGTAATATTTTCAATGCAGAATATTTAAACAAAAAAAAAATATTTCAAACACAATTTTGTAATTTTTAAATTTTTAAACAGAAAATTTCCAAATAATTGTTTAAAATTTCTAAAAGCAAAAGCCTAGAACTTAATTTATTGTGTTTTTTAAGTGGATATTGAAAATAAAAGTTAGTCAAAATATAAAAAAAATTGTGTTAAAAATTTGAATTTCTAAAACATTTTAAAAAAGATTTATATAACTCTTATTGTACTTAATTTACATATATATTTTGTACACCTCAATGTTATAACGACTACAAACAAGGAACTATTTTTTTCAACCGCCTTTAATTTCACCAATAAGTTTTGTTAAAAGTAGTGGATTCAATTGTAATTTTTTTAATTTAAACCAAAATGAACAATTCTTATATCATTTAATAATTATGCAAATGAAAAAGTTTATAAGTTGTATATATATATTAAATTGTTATAATATTATATTTTAGTGTAATATATCTACATAACCTTAAAAGTGGGGCGTAACTATTTAGATACATATGTATGTACAATGAACCGAGATAAGCATGAAAAAACATTTTGTTAATAAAAAAGATGAGTATTTTTTTCAAAATGAAAATTTGTTTGATTATTTAAAAATTTAAAATTTGACCCATAACAAATTATATATTTACGTATATTTTTTTACAAAATCAGTATTAAATAAACAAGAGAAAATCGCATGCGCTAAAAATTTCCGGTTACAAATCTGCAAATTTTTCCGGTAACAAAGCATAGTTAAAAATGACTTATTTATTCAATAATAATTATCAAATACAAAAAAATGCGATAAAAAATTCGTCTGACCATACCAAAGAAAGAATTACATAAATTTTCAAAATTAGTAAAAAAAAAAGTCGCATGCGATAAAATTTTTAACGACATCTTCAGCTTACTTGTTAATTTATTACGTAAAATACACACATATTTGCGTATTTACCCATCCAAAAAATTTACCACGTTCGGTTGACCTCAATGCGAATGCGCAGTGTGACCTTAAACTAAAATGTGACGACATACATACTACGGATCAACGAGTTGACACAACTAATTAACAGTTACTAACAGCAATACAATAAAATGCATAAAATAAATCCAATATTTAACGAAACAGTGACAATATAAACAAAATTTTAGTTCGTCAAAGTGTTTAGTTGAATGCGACGCATTTAGATCTATCTAATGGTACTAGGCAGTTGCCCTACTGTATGTGCTATAAAGCAATACACACATAAAAACATATAGATACATACAAAGTTGTAAGTTAATGAATATGTTCACACCGATAATTTTTAAAAACTATGACTGGGAAAAAACTTTTATCAGGCATGCACAAGCATGATATTTTTTCCTCTTTAGAGTTGCGTTACACTTTGTTTAAAGTTGATGCAATTTTATATTAATAAATACATATAGTCTAAAAAAATATATTTGTATATATATGTATATGTATATATCAGATATATATGCAAATAAAATAAAGAAAGTAAATGTTAATTATGTTGTGTGCTCTGCTATTTTGCTGAGAGCTTTTGATATGAAACATGATGGCAGCACTACCATCATATGCTAATTTGAAAACAGCTGTCAAATAAACTTTGTTTACGTTTAATTGATCGCTGTGTGCCAGTGTGCATTATCTCTGATATTAATTCTACAATTATGGATAGTTCTGAGGAAAAGGTAATTTTCAATTATATCCATTTAAATATTTGCAAATAAAGTGATGGTTTTTTTTTTAGTTCACGTGGACGCAACAGTTGACAATGAAACTCATACAGGAAGTCGAGCGTCGTCCATGCATTTGGAATCGTGAAGATGGTGATTATTCAAATAAAACCATGAAAGCAATAGCATTTGATGAAATCGGCGAAATACTAAATGTGCCGAGCACCAACGTACGTGAAAAATTTCGAAATCTACGCATAAATTTCATGCAAGTGCATAAAAAGAAATTGTCGGCCGGTAGCAGAGCAACGTATGTGCCAAAGTGGGAGTTTTATAATGCACTATTCTATATGGCGGATACGTGTGTAGCGTCATCGACATCTTCTGCCTCGTCAACGACATCAAAGCCACCAAAGCGACGAAAATTGCGCGATTACAAAACAGATACGCAAGATACAGCTATAACTACAGATCCACTGTCCGACGATTGTAATAGTTCACAGACACAATTTAGTCATGACAAAGAACCGCGTTTAAAGTTTGTCGAATATGTAACGCCCTTCAAGAGAACAACAGAAAATTTAAGTGAAAATGAAACGCCTTTTAAAAGAACGACAGACAAATTTGGCGAATGCATAGAAACGCCTAAAACATTACATGTAAAATTTGGCGAATATGTAGCGTTTAGTCTTGAAAATCTTGATGACACGAAATTAGTCAAGAAAACAAAAGCTAAAATACAGCTCATAATATCCGAAGCGATAAGAGAACGTGCCATGGCCGAATTGGCTCAGTGCGAGTCTAGTGCGGAATTTTAAAGCATTTTTCATTGACATATTTTAAATTCGAGTTGGTTTGCTTTGCTTTATTGAAGAACATAATACTATATATTTTTCAAGAAAACTTGGGACAATTTTAGCTCCTTCCAGGGCTAAGAGGTTAACCATGAACTATCTGAGCCGTCGACAATCCTCCGTACTATTTCGAGGTTAAAATTTTAAGTTAAGAAGAATTAAACAGGAGGTTCCGCAGTCTGGCATCCTTTCTTCGCTACTGTTTAATATCTATATCTCGAAACTCCCTCAGCCCCCAAAGGGAATTTCCATCACCTCATACCGCAGACAATTGTACGATACAATCTGCAAGGAGCTTAACACTCTCTACCTTTAAATCCACAGCGACCATATTGAGGTACTGGACAAAAGAGTACAGACTGGATCCTAGTATCACAGTCGATATTAAAATTTCTACTATCCACAATTCTACTTGGCAGCTCCGTACGATGAAAGAATGCCTACTGATGTCTTCCGTTGAACACCTGCATAGCAGGGCCTGCATGCTTCCGATTAAAGAACACAATGCCCTCCTCTCCTAGCAATTTCTGCTGGGATATAGCAACTTCGTGCTGGATATTGTAGCAGGTTAAACACCTTTCATTCCAGAATCGATTTCTTATATACCAAATATATGTCCTGGCTGCAATGAGTTACCGCATAACTCTATTCACCTCTTTCCATGCCTAACGAATCCCACACATCTAATACCCCTCTCTCCATGAGAAATTGTTTACTAAATTATCTTCGAAATGAAAAATTATTATATGAAGTAAGTACATCGGAATAGTTTTAAAAAAGACGATAAAGTTAAGATTTTTGATGTTAAAATATTGATACTTGTATTTAAGGTTCTTTAAGATATATTACTAAGTATTTTAGAAAAAATAAAAGTACAATATATTATGGAAGTACATCGGTTTTTGCTGTCACAAATAGAATATGTATATGTATATTTAACACTGCGTACAGTGTTGTTGTTATTTGTAGTAACATAAAATAATCCAAAATATTAAATATTCATTCCTGTTAGGAAATCCTTCCTAATTCAATGCTAACTGTTGTCAGGTTAAGCGTATGTGAATTCGGCTTCAAATAATTTGTGTGTATATTTTTGTCGCTGCATTCAAAATGTTAATTTTTCCTTACAATATTTGTGTGCTTATCAGGTTTGATATGTTATTTTTTGTCATAGTAATTCAAAGCTCTCAGATGCCTTCAAAATTACCACAGAATTTTTCAGTTTGGATACTTTTCACATATGCTCATTTGAGTTGTAACTTTTTAAAGTTGTTGTTATGTCTGCTTTTTATACCCTAAACAGGGTATATTAAAATTGTAACACCTAGAAAGAAATGTCGGAGACCCTATAGCATATATACATATGTATATAAATGATCAGCATGATGAGCTGAGTCGATTTGCCATGCCGTCTATCCGTCTCTCTGTATACATATATCGATCTGGAATTTTGCACACGTCCTTTTCTGTATTCAAGAAGCTGCTCGTTTGCCAAATCGCCAATATGGGAACACTCTAGCTCCTAACTGTCATACATACAAAACGATCAAATACATGGCATGGGCTATTGTTCAAGACAATGGTCTAATCTCCGAAAAAATTGTTCAGATCGGATCACTATAGCATATAGTTTACAAACTGTACGATCAAATACCATACATGTCCTTGTATGGAAAACGAAATTTGTTATGTATTATTATCCAAAGCAACGCTACAAGCTCTGAAGAAATTTATCAGATTGGACTACTAAAACATACACATGCCATACAAACTGACCGATTAAAATCTAAACGAAGTTCGTTTTATACCCTTTTATGCTAGAAGAAATGCAACTGCGAAGGGTATTACCGTTTTTCCTTGTTTAAAAAAATTTTATATATTTTGTTGCTGTTGTTGTTTTGTTTTCACTTGTAATTTGTATGTACTTACTTAAGCCTAGCCTCGAGCTCACCTGCCGAAGTCGTAAGGTTGTGGTAATTTGAAAACAATTACTTTATTTCATGCGGCAGCGACAATAAAAATGTAAATATGCATAGGTATTGGCGTGGCGTGTATGTGTATAAAAGCAACAACAATAAATAACTACTGTAAATAACATTTATAATGTAGTAAATGTGTTAATTTCACAGTCATTTCTGTTGTTTTCATTTATTGGTTGTTGTTTTTGGCTACAACAAATACTTAATTTACAGTATTCGGGTAAGTAAAGCATTAACCGAACAAAATTGCATGTGATTTTGGGAATTGTGCGATCACAACAAAGTGATGTCACTAATATGGGAATTTAGTACAAAAAAACCTGCTTCGAAGCTGTGTTCGAGCTGTTGTGGATTGATATCGGTCCGAGCATATCTTAAAAAGATTTTGAAAATGTTGTCTGCCCCTACAACAATAGTGTCAATGAAAGAATCTAGCAGATTTTCAGTTGCGTCTAAATTTAGCACTTTCCTACTTGTTAATATTGAATTTTTAAAAAAGCAAATAGATGAGTTTTTGAAGTGTTTTTAAACAACCAAGAATTTCTTTATTCTAAAACTTTTCATTCCACACCATATTTGCTTCACAAAAACTTCGTCTCAACAAAAAACAAAAATATATATATACAAAAATATTTGGTTTCTTGTCAAGTTTTCAAGAAAATTTTTTAAAATTTTTGAATATTCATCTCAAGTAGAGGAAAATATTTTTTGTTCTGTTCTACCAAAGAAATTCAACTAAAATTCTGGAAATTGTAATGCATATTCGTAAATCCCGATGTACTACTGCCAATACTATTTTGAACAGTATGTTTCTCATTATTTTCTCAAATCAATATCTATGGAAAGGAAAACAATAACTAATAAGTTATTTTATAAAAAAAAACATTAAACAAAACTAAATTAATAACAATAATTTTATGAAAAAAAGTATGGAAAACAGTATAAAAAAAGTGTATAAAAAAAGTTTTATTAAAATAATAAAAAATTTACTCTATTTTGGAATAAAAATACTCTTTATTTTTTTCGATTAACTAGTGTTAGTCAACAACTTATCCGATTATTCTTTTTACTTAGTACATAATTTTAATAAAAAATAATTTTACAACAAAAAAAAAATGTATTAAAAAAATTAATAAAAACAAGAAAAAACTTTAACTTCGGTTGCATCAATGTATAATACCCCACATGAATACAATTGTTAAAAAATACACCAACACAAATGCATATAGAGGAATAAGAGCTTAATTTGAAAAACTTAACTAAGTCAGCTTGCTATTTAGAAACTTCACTTATGACTCAGTGGGCGTAGAATATTACAAATTATTATTTACACACACGCACACTCATGCATACACATATAGATACAAATATACGTACAATACATGGTAGTATCTACATTATTTTATTCTATCCAAAGCATCCAATTTCCTCATTTATAGCCATTTAGTAAATTTTGTTTACTTTTTATTAAATTTAAAATATTATCTACACTTAGTAATGCTGGTAATTTGTAATTAGCTGGCAAAACAAATAAAAAATTAATTGCAAAAAAAAAAATGTTCGGAAAAATATTTGTGAATGTCAAAAGTTATTCCTTTTCGCACACTCACAACATTTTAAGTAATAACAAGTCAAGCACTCGCACAACATGTGGCATGTGTGGCACGCATGCCATACTGTATGAAAAAACTATTTAATTTTATAAGTATATTTATTTATTCGCATTTAAATTCATGTTTCACATAATTGGCGTGGCGAACGCGCAGTTGTGTCAAGCGGTAATTTGCATAAATGATTCTACTTAATTAATTTTTATTTTAATTTTGTTTTTATTTTGGTTAGAAACTTTAGGTAAATAAGTGTATCTGCACTAGGTGTGTATTCTAAATTTGAGTAGGTTATTTAGTAGGTGTTAACATCTGGGCAATGACAGCAAACCGTAGATGGAAAAGCTATCTATAAATGTCTAAGTAAATATAACATATATATCAAGTACCTTACTCCTATAATTTTCGCAAGTCAATGTCATTTTAACAAATTACATAATTGTTTAATCGTTGTCACAAAAAAATAAAGGAAATACTACACACAGGCAAATCACTTAAACGCTCATAATTTAGACCTCCAACTTTAATTATAGTCGCTTACTTGGTAATAGTGGCCTTAATGGGAATATTACTTAGAATCAAAATCATCTAGCAACTATCATAACAAAGACTCTCAGAAGACATGCCATTCCAATTCTATGGTCGACTATAGTCTTACTGTCTTCTTTGCCATTAATTTTAAATGCTAATCCGAAGTAGTCCTATAAATGCAACTAGGTTGCATTAGCAATGATTATAAGTATATACATATATGTATACCGATTTCGTTTAGATCCAATGTTAATACAGATTACCAGATTGATTGAGATTACAACTGAATCGAATCGGAAATCACTGTATACTGTTATCACCACACCATTCCGATCCTTAATATTTGATACATTTAGATACTACTATACTAAGGTCCTAATTTTACGATAAAATGATTTGTCATAAAACAACCCTGCAAATTTTTCAAGATAATATGCATTTTTGGATTGTACGTAAAGTTAGTCCGTAGTGTTTTGATATAATATTTAAGGGGTAATATCTAATTAGATCAACTTCAAAATTAAAATCTGTGTATATTCGATAATATGAGAATTCGATTTTCTAAAACTACAAGTGGATATAAAAGGCAGCACTTTTGCCGCAAAATTTGACATAAGCCAAATTTGCGCTTGTTTCGAACGTTTCAAGTTCAGCTTCTCAAATATACATAATGATAATAAGTACTGTTAGTGGAGCTTTTGAGCAAAATGTTAGCTTAAAGCTGTTGTGTAAAGCTCGGTGAACTTGTTGTTGACAACAAACAGCACAATAACAAAATGAGTTGAGTATTTGAAGCCACTTAACATATAACATTGGCCCAAGAGCGAACTAAAGAATAAGTTGGCAAATACCTAAAACGTACAACAAACAACAAACAAGAACGGCTTAATAGGGTCTTCGAGTATGCATAACGAGCCGCAATTTATTAGCTTTTGATTAAGACGTCATTCGTGGGAACAGCAGCAGCAGCAACATTAACAATAACAGTCGCTTTAAGCCACAACCACACCGCGTACTAGCAGCAACAACATTGAGCACCTGCGCAACCGCAACCAGTCTCTTACCGCATAATTCCCTTTCAGCTATTTTAAAGCTTGTCTTTTTTTTTGCGACACCGCAGCTTCAGCTTTTGCTTCAAACAACGAACGCCTTTGTTGGCGTAACTCATAAAAAACCGTGTTACCAAAGTGTTCCCAATAGCAGTTTCGATAAAGTCTTTGCGCTGAACGGTTCGTACGAGTTTGTTCGTTCGTGGTCTTCAACTCTGTTGTGTTGGGTTTCCTGCTCCGGTATGTGGTCGACACTCACAGATTTCTAGTCTATTTGTGTGGTGCAAAAAATCGAAAATTCCGTAAATTCAGAAAAAGTACGAGATATACAAAAACAGATCTGTGTTTTTTTTCTGTATGTAAATACAAAAAAAAAATTAGCGCTTCGAAAAATACGAAAACGCTTAGATAAAGGAAGAAACGAGTTGTAAGCGTACGCAAACGAAAAAATATATGTTTTGTAATTTCAAACTCGGCGTTTTTTCTGCTTTTGCTGCTGTTTGTGTTTGTTGTGGGCCCACGATTTGTTGATTTAGGCTTTTTTCTTTCGATTTTTTTCGTACGCTTTGATTGAGCAAACATATTTTCGGCTTTATATGGTCTTAATTCGCAAGCTTAAATGAGTGTTTCCGTGCGTTGTGGGACTAAAAATTGCGGTCAAAGTTGATATTTGCAACAAAGATAACTATATACCTACAACAATAAGTGTAACTTACGTGTATCACAATTGAATTAGAAGTGTAAAAGGTATCTAGCCGAAACGATCTTGTATCCAACGTGTAAAGTTTTCGAACAAAGCGGAGTGAAAGATCGTTATTAGCATCAAAAAAGAAGCAGTGAAGAACGCAGAAAAAAACGTAAGTTATAAATGTAAAATTATGAATATATATATTAAATACTCATGTAGCTATTTATAGCAGGAAAACTAAAAAAATTGTGCCAGTAGAACACTATCTACTGGATTTTAGTGCCTTGTTAGTCTCAAAGAACAAACAAAATGCTTAAATATATCTCGAAAAGAATTGAAGCAGCGTTTAATCTAAATCTTGGCGTTTGGCTTCATATTATTATAGAAAAGTAAGCTCATAAAGATTGCGAGAAATCCGCGTATAACTTATAGTTAAACATGGACATTTTCTTTGCATCAGAAATCTGGATTTTATCTGGAAATACAGAGTCCTGACATGGCTTGAAATTTCCTCGAATGACTTATACTGAAATATGGAAAGTTTCTTTATACCAAAAATTAAAAAATAAAATAAAAAATTATATAATTCGACGATTTGAAATTTTCTTAAAAGATGTGAATGTTATTGCAGATAAATCTATATTTTTTTCAATTCATCAACTATCAAGTACTAGGCAGGCTACCAATTCGTAGTTTGCTTATAGATAATGAATTATAGTATTTTTGATATATTTTATGTCAAATTTGTATCAAATCCGTGGATTGTTTAGTCCTTAAATAGGACGCAGGCTCTTGAAAAGCTTCATTCCATGATAATAGTGCGCTGCGTTTTTGTCGGTACATTCTCTTTATGATTGCTATTCACACGCTCTCAAATATAATATAATATATAAAAATTATATTGGCAATAGGTGTGGTTGCTTCTTGATATTGACCTGCTTTAAAGGCTCTCGCGTTATATAAAGCTCAAATGAGCTTCTATATAGGTGGCATGATATATAAAAATTGAACACAGATCGTCCAAAATATTCTCTACAAGCCCGCAGACTGATATAAATTGGTAATATTGTAATTTAAGGCATGAATTTATACCAGGACCAAATGGAGTACTCAGTTAAATGTATATTTTTCCTACGCTGTTTTCTGCGATCAAACATTTCAAATTAATGTTTTATTTAGTCGGTTAACGTTGAGTTCCTTTCATAGCACTCGTATCTTGATCTCAGAGTTGATATTTATTTTTTTCTGGTGTAGATATATTTATTGTCGTTGTCTATTGTGTGTCTATAAGTTTAGAATAATTGCTTATTTAGTGTTTTCGGTTATTCATTTCAAATAACACATTTTTTCCAGATCGCTCGAGCAATGCAAGCTCCAGTTTTCAAATTTCAATGCTTATACTCTGGTGAAATGAAATTAATTTGGGTTTCCATAACAAAAAAAGAACTCGTTTGATCTGAGCGGATTCTATATGGCCAAATAAATTCCAATCAATATATAAATGCTCTCAAAATTATCAGGGAATGAATAAAACTTTACTGAAATTGCTCGAGATGTTCTAGCTGCATTTTTCAAATTTTGGCACTTATATTGTAATGAAAAGTAATTTCGTTTTTCCTATTTTATCTCTTACTTTCGTAAAGCTTATAATCTAAATGTAAGTTCGTTAGACCTGAATCTGAAAGAATTGTAAGCGTGAAACAAGTGCCACTTAAATTAGATGGATAGAATATGAAAAAGCTCTATTTTTCTAGTTTCTGATAAGAAGACTTTTACGGTTAGAAACAATCTCTAACAGAGACTGATTTTCATAGTGTCTATAGTAAATTTATAGTAAATTGATATAATAATTTTCTTACACATTGGAATATTTTGGGAAATAAAGCAACTAAATGCTATAGTTGTCCGATCTAAACACTACGTTTAGAAATTGTAATTCTATTTTCTGTGCCAAATTTCGAAAATATATCTTTTTAAATAAAACAGTTTTCCAACAATGATTTGATCGATTGTTTATTCAAGGTATAATTCATAGTCCAATAAATCATGGTGAAATTATGAACTTTTATATAAGGGCAAGCAAGCGATCTTGAATAAAAGTTTGAAAGTTGAAAATTATTATTTATATTTATGTATATAAATAAAAGATGCTAAAAGCTTATTTAAAAACTATGATATTTTTTAGATTAAAAAACCAAATTTTCCATTGTTTTGTAATTGAAGTTTTTATATAATTTCCATAAAATATTATTGAGTGAAGTTATGCAATAGCTAAAAAGCAAGCATTTTTATGTGAAAACTTTTTATATTTATTAATTTTCTTTTTTTTAATTACTTGGATGCACTCGGCGCACAACCACAAGTATGTATGTATATATACTTAAATATGTATGACTGTACAGTAGGGTGGGCCGAAGAAATTGATAATATTTTTTTCACTTATACTCTGAAAAATCTCAAAAAAATTAAAGATATTAAAGGTATCATAAAAATTATTGTTTAGCGATTTATAAAATTCATCAAAAAGCAGAAATATATATTGAAATAATTATTCTTTAATAATTTTTAATTTTCGAATATTATTTAGATACTGAGATATGCATTTGGTGGTTACTAACCAATTTTCAGAGTATAAAAAGACAAAACAGCCGTTTTTTTTTGATTTTTTTGATCCACCCTAGCGTACAGGTTGTTGCTGGCGTCAGTTGCTTGATCATTTTTGCTGGTGGGAAGCGCAAATGAAATTATTGTATGAACATAAAAAAAATTTTTAGTTAGTACTTTTAAGCGCTTTTGTTTTCCCCCATTGGGCTTTTCGTTTTTTCCTGGCAATTTCTACTCACTGTGGCACTGGGTCGCCAATAGTTAGTCGTAAGTAAATAAGTAGTCGTTGACTCATTTGGCCGCTGTTGTGTTTTGTTGCTGCATGTCAAACGGCACGACTCTCCAACTGAGTGCCAATGATGCTACGTATGGTTTAGGGTTACTTTGTAGTCAAATCTTATAAAATAATGGAATTTTTGCGTTTGCAATGTTGTTGTTGCTGCCTGCATTGCCTGAAGTGTTAGAGCGCATGCGCACAGACGCATAGCTCGTTTGCCTAAGTTATAAATTATGTAGTGTTCGTAAATAGTTTAGATATGTGTGTTGTATGGATGACGTTGCTAAGATTAATATGCAAAAATTAATTTAAATCAGTGAGTGTAAATGCAAGGAATGCGAGGGTGCATCTTATAAAGGCGTTATTTATGGCGGAAATTAATGGAAGTTTATTTATTTTATTTTATTGCATTTCATTTTGTCAAAGCTGGCTCAGCACACGATCGATTGAGTATGATTTCTCGTGACTTAATCTTAATTTAATAAATAATAATACTATTATGGGTAGAAAAAAACGTTAATATATAAAACATATGCCTTATTGATATATTTTTAATATATTAATAGGACTCTTTTAAGTAAAATATTTTTTATTCTTACATAAAATATAATAACTTGATCGCTCCTTAAGCATTTCATGTCTAATTAAGCCTTTATAACTTTAGCCCCTCTCATTTTTTTTTTAAATACATTTTCATTATACTTATTTTATAACCTGAACAGGGTATATCAATTTTGCCATGGAGTTTGTAACACCCAGAAGGTAAAGTCGGAAATCCCATAAAATGTATATATAAATAATCAGCGTGATAAACTGAGTCTATTTAGCTACGTTTGCCTGTCTGTCCATTTGAATATACGCGAACAGGGTCCTTTATTTTTCATGATATCGTTCTGAAACTTATCGGGTATCCTGTTGACTTTGTACTTGTAATACCGTAAATGGGTCAGAATAGTAGTGTTGTACAAAAAGTAACGGTATTAAAAATAATTCTACAAGTCATATTCTATATATGTATATACATAGCATATTCCTCGAAAATTTTCACATATTTTTGATACTTAAACAGTATTTAAACTTCGTCTTTAACAATGATGGTTTGCAATTAGCGTCAGCCCTATGATTCGCTCGGTTCATTTAACGCACGTTTCTATCTGAAATTTACTTTCTTACATATTCTTCATTTTAATTGCTTTTGAATCGAAAAAAAACTTTTTAGCACCTTAAACTTTTTTTGAATATATCGAAAGTCATATATAAATATTATTTTTAAATTGAAAAAAATCTTGTTAGAAGTATATAAAAAATAATTTTCTATACTTCTATCGAAAATCTCATAATGAACTTAATAATAGAAATATTATTACAGAATTGAACTTTTATATTTGTAGTTTAGGTTTTAACTTCATTATAATAATATTTTTCTCACTGCGATTTCAATATTTTGCGCCACCACTGTTAATCATAAAAAATGCAATGCGTGCATTGCTGATAAATATCAACAACTTGATAGTTATGCGCAGCACCGGTTTTAGAAAAAAATAAAAAATACAACCACAATCTAAATACAACAATGCAAAGTAGCTATATACAACAAATATTGTTTGTATCTTTGTGAATATAAAAAACTTATAGTACATAAGAAAAATGAAAATTAGCATTACGATGGGCTTGGCTAGCCACTGAACTTCTTGAACCGATTTCTTGAAATAAAAAAATAAAAAAAAGGAATTTGGTTTAATGGCATTTTTCTGCAAAATAAAAGCAAACTACCGCAAATTGTCTTTATACCTACAAAACTCGTTAGTGCAGCTGGTTGTCATTAAATAGCAAAATAAGTAAAACTAAAATTAACAGCTAAACTACAAAGCCAAGAAATATGCAATTATAAGTAGTAAGAAGCAAAAGTAAAAATCGAAATACTAAAAACTTTTATTTTGCATTTTAGTAAACAGAATTAAATGAAATAAAAAAGTGTGTGGAAAAACGCCACTTCGAAAACTTGTTCTGCAATCGAAACCGTTAATCGTAAAACGAGCCTCCTGACAACCAACTAGCCAGTCAACCAGCCGCAACTGTAAATTTGTAGTTGAAATATAAAATTAAGCGCAAAACAAACAAAAGCCAATCGCCTCGCAACATATCAGTATAAGCACTTAAAAGAAGAAGAAGAAAAATGAGAAAAATAAAAACAATAACTACTTTTAAAAGCAGTATTGCGAAATACTGAGAACCAGCAGAAAGAGTAGTGTAAGTAGCTGGTAAAAAACGTGAAAAAAAATACCAAAAAAAGCGAAAAATCATAGGCAAATACTGTAAATAATAAACAAAACAAAAGGGAATAAATGTTAATATCGACTATTAATCAGCGAAAAGTCGAAATTACGAGCCAACTTTAACTTGAAAAGTTATTTCATTTGTTGAAATTGTAGATATCGGACACCCATAGCATATAGCTGCCATACAAACTGACCGATGGAAATCGAGGTCTTACCATATATGGAGAACTTTTTTATTTAGCAAAATATGTTCCCGCAATTTGGCATGGTTTATTGTCCTAGACAATGCTAAAATCTGAAAATATATTTCTCAGCTCAAACCACTATAACTTTCTTCCATGGAAACTTTTTTTTACTTGTGAAGGGTATTATAGTTGCTTGTTTTCGTTTTATTTTACATTTTGCTTTATTTACATATTGTACTTTGAGACTTTCCTGCAATTTTGCGTTCTTTGCATTAATTCTGCATGTTTTACATTACATTACTTCGCGCTGATCGCTGCTTATACCATTTTATATACGAGCGAGCCTTTACTTTTAAAACATTTACGAAGAAGCGAATTTGAATAAAATATTACAATATCATATTATACAAATATGACATTTCTGCATTTTCTTTTATTTTTTGCCTTTTTGATTATTTGCATTATTTTAGCAACTTGCGCCTGTGCTCGGCAAAAATTCGAAAGCACAAGAAGAGAAAGACGATATCAATGAGCGTTGTATGTTTAAGCGTGACATGTCAAATAATTGAAATAAAAATGTATTGATATATGAAGTTTTAATAAAACAAAAAATGGTATTAAAGTAGTAAGAAAAGTATTTGGTTTTATTTGAAGATTGGTAAAGGTTTGAAATGTATTTGTACTCTACTTAACAACGAAATAAATGGTGTGGATTGGATTTCAAGTGCCATCGATAACGTGGTTTCTAAAAATGAAATTAAGCATTTGTTCAACTAAAAAATATGTAAAGATTATCTAGCTCCATTACATGATATAAAAAAATGTTGGAACTCTTTGTATCGCTTCAATAGCTAGAACTTAAGGTGTGAAAGAAATACCGAAACTTAGTTTGATTTGCATAGGAAATCGAATTTCCGTATAGCTCATATATACTCAACTGAACTAAACAAGAGGCTCTCTATAGATAATACAATTTTAAATAACTCTTCTATAGGTTTTTTAATATTGATATGCGATAAGTAGTGTCAAGTTCTTCTGCAATTTTTACGTTCTGGGTTCATGTGGAACTATCTAATGCATTTTATTGCGATTTCATCAAGTAGGCTAATCGTCTTTAGACAACTAATATTCCAGACAAAATAAGTTCCACTACCAAGTATACTGGCTAAAATTCTAACACGGTTCTAAGCTAACAGGAATACTCATTTTCGAAACGACATCTCTCGAGCACCATAATTTTTTTTTTACTAATAGGTAGTGGGCCCTTCTTTTCTTAAGAAAATGTTCGATCAAAAAAAGGATATAAAAATTTTGTTCAGAGGAAAATCCACTTTACTTGCTTAAAGTTCTATAAAGTTGCAAATAACCTCGAACACTATTTCAAAGCATTCCTTAAATTTGCAGATTAAGAAAAAACCGAAAGTTATCGAGTTATTTATTAAATAATTTTCAACTCGGAATTTATTTTCTAAAGGCTTATTATTACTGATGAAAAAAGTATTTATAAAT